TGTAGGAATGTTTGGTTCATTGTTAGAGTTTTTAACTTGCCACTTGACAAACATCGGCCATCTCATTTAAATCCAGCTGAAACAGTTTTTCTACAACTACACAGGAATAAAAACTGTTCCATACAAAAGTCCACATTTTATTGGCCATTATCAGTTCAAAGTGAAGGTGTTGCTCTGTTACATAAACATGACTCGGAGGTCAGCGTCATTCCTACATGTTACATCAGCAGATGACGGTGTCTCTTACCAGCATGTGTGTATTGTTTTTATGCACTTTGGCAGGGAAATGTCACAGGTTTATTTTTATATTCATAAGCATGCAGCTTTGGGCTTCCAGTGCTGGGAAGAACCAGTGGGGTCACATTTCTGAAGACGACTTCTAATTCTTCATACTCAGCTCTTCAGCTCTTTAAGGACATTCTTTTCTTGAAAGGTAAGCAGTGTTCTGAAATGAAAAAAAGGCATCCTCCATGCTTCTTAAAAGTTGGTATCCAGATTAACCTCCTGACATTTTATAATAAAGTTCAATGTGCTCTTCAGACATACATTTTTCCTTGCTTACTCTTCTTTGTATTTCACAGAACATCCCAATGAAGCACATAAAAAATTGCATTTAAAATATGTGTGGAAAAATCTTTCCCTGTTTTTTTTTTGTTTTTTGTTGAGGTGAAAGTTCACTTTCCTGTATGCTGTCTACCTGTACTTCTGTGAGAACACTGCAGAGAAAAAGATCCGTAGGTCAGGGGTGAGATGCCATAAATGGTACGCATGCTATGGGACATGGTTGGTTGGTAGACTGACTAATTAGAAGGCTCCCTTTGACCTCACCTTTGACCTCCTCAGCTGTGTCACATGAGATCTTTAAAGAGGAGTCTGTGAACACAAAGTGCTTTTAATTTTGACAGTGTCTTTTCTCATGTTAACTTTAGTGTATCTAACTTTTTAGTTATGAGCAAACTAAATAGTTTAACCACAGTATATAACGGTGAAATGAAAGGAAACTGATACAAGGTTGTTTTTTTTTTTGTTGTTTTTTGCAGACAATTCATATAAGGTGATTATATGAATCCATTAATTTTAGAGAATGAGGAACTGTGGAAATGGAGTTGCACCGACTAGGGAGGAAGTAGAATTTGACTTGTTCTACTTCCTTGTTCTAGTTCCTTTCAGGGAATGTAAGATATGACGTAAACTTGTTTGTGAACTCTTTGATAAGGTAGATTTCTGAATTTATAATTACTGTGTCGTAAGCTAATCTAAATGTACCAACACAAAATGTACAGTGGAAAAATGCCGATATTTATTCTGAGTGGTTGTCGTTTACTGAGAGAACAAGAGAGCTATTTTTAGTTATCTGTGTAAGGAATGGATCTGGGCTTGTTGACTTTGGAAAATCAACAAGCCCAGACTTGGGCACTACTGATCTTTTGTAGTACCTAAGTCAGATAATGATTCCAAGTGCTGATAAGATGTTATGTCACTGTTTGATGATCAGGCCAAACATTCGTGAGACGATAATGGGTGGAACCAGTTCACTTTCATATTGTAATCCAGTTTTTTTTAGGAATATGGAAAGAAAAGCACATAAAAAAAACAACAACTCAAATTTAACAAACATCTAAACAACAGCAATGAAAGTTGGAAATTATATTTGGAATTAAGAAAAATGGAAAATCACGTATAAACCGGAGGTATTGACAGTGAAGTGTTGAAGCAGCTGGGAGGGATAGGAAGCGGGTCCTTTGAGTCTGAGTCCTTGGTCCTTGACTGGAAAAAAAGTGGACTTATTCCTCTGAGCAGAGAGTCTGTCTCTTTTTTTAAAGCAGAAGAGTTTTCAAGGTGTCTGTCTTGTTTATGAGTGATGATAGGATGGGATGGGAGAGAGACAGATGGAATAGGGCTTCACAATGACCTCTTAGAGCTTGCGATTGTTCCGCAACTATTCATTTATTTATACTTTTAATACATACCGTCTCCAGATTCGTTGGACTGATTAGAGTTGAAATGCTTACTGGCATTGAAGATCCTTCAGATAGAGACACACTAAACAGTAGCTGTTGCTTTAACTATTTTTCTTCTAAAAACGTTGGACTATTTACGTTGGCGTGTTTCCATTTAAAAACTTTCATATGTGTGTGTAAAATGTCCTGCACAGGTGTTAAGTGTTCTGAGGTTCACAGACAAATGAAAGCATCCAACGCTGTTTGTTAAACCAAGTTGAACAATTTAGCAGATAAAAGAACCAATGAGAGAAGAGGAAAGAATCTCTCCTCAAACAATCTTTTAAATAGAAGAGAAACTTTAGAGTCCAGATTAACCCAAGTAGTTTTTTTTATTTTCCTCAAATGGCATTGACAAAAACATAAAGACATTGGTGAATAAGCCACTTTTCATTGAGGGTTCTGGCTTGACTATGCAAGAGCAGGTCCACTTCCAGAAATTCATTTTTAGCAATGGTAAAGTCATGTGAGGAAGCTCTGAGCAAGATCTTACTGAAAATATATCTATAAAAAAGATTCCTTGGTGCTTTTGTTCTGTTTCTCTGCATATTTCTACATTATGAGCAGATTCAGTAAAAAAAAAACAAAAAACAAAAACAAAAAAAAAAACAAACGACCAATACAATCATTGCTAAGTTCAACTTTAGAGGCTCTTACTTCAACACTCACTCTTGAGAGCGGTGGTAAGTAATCCATCTTCGTGATTTTAATTTCATGCTTCCTTTTGGTGCCATTTTCACATTAACAGCAGGCTACTGTGTATATTTTATCCAGAAGTTTTTTTTTTTTTTCTTCTGTTCCAACACTTTAACATGAAGATCCTGTGCTAGAGTTGCATTGTTTTAAATTTGTAATGTTCTTCCATATACATACACAAAGGAAACATGTAGATTTGTATCTTTGTTACTGTTCGTGTTTTTTGATTTGTTTGGCCTTTGTCTAAATAGTTATTTTTGATAACTTCCAAATCTTCCACTTTGAAATCACAGAAACTCAAATTTCTTATTCTTTGTTGGAAATTTGAAAACTAGCATGAAGGCTTCTTTAACTGGCTAAAAATCTGCTGTTTGCCTTCAACTTATTACATAAATTACAATTATGAGAATGAGCTAAATTACTGCAGAGTTAACTTTTAAGTTTATAAGTAACCGCTTGCATGGTGGTTTCATGTACTGCCAAACACAGTAATTCAGCTGAAGTGATTCCAAAACTTTTAAAATGCACATTATTGTAAATATTTAAAATACATTTAAATTTAATAAATTAAATTAAAAGCTTCACTTACTATAAATCCAAATTTTAATAATTTCTTATTTGTTTCATTTACTTTTGTTTTGGCCCATTTGGCCCTCGACACACGTCGTTGTTGGCTGACTCTATTTGTGGGATTTTCAATTAATGCAGCTATTTGAAAATGTTGAGATCTTATCCCTGCCTCTAACCTAACACCCAATCTAAAGAAAGCCAGATGTGGTTTATTATACTGAGTCTGTTTTATCGCCACATGTGTAATTGCTACCACATTTTGGGTAAGATTGTTTTGCGTGGATGAAAACTTATCTCAATGTGGCGCTATGCTTGTAAAGAACTTTTAAGAAAAGATTACTGCAAAGATTATTTGAGAAAATCTTGCATTTTAATATGGAGAGACATTAAAATACTTTTATATTTGTGTGCAGCTATCAATTGTAATTTCATAAAACAAACTTGTGTGGCTAGGACACCAAAATGGAATCTCAAAAAAAAAAGAGCCTGACATGTTTCTAAATCTGCTTCTAAAGGCTGATAGCATTTAACATGTCATGTTTAAAAATACAAAAGAGAGAAAAAGAAATACCTTTTTGCTTATGATACTGACCTCAGAAGCCTTATGTGTTTATTTAGACAGAAAAGTTAGGAAAATCAGAAGAGGTTAAAAATATTCACCTACATTTTTCTACGTTTGCATCAGCCTGTTAATAAATCTCTATCACCAATAATGAATTGAACGTGACATCTGATTTATTTTTTAAATCACTTCGGGTACTTTGGTTATTCTGTCAAATCAAGGCAGTTTTTTTCAACATAAAATCATAGAAGGTCTTGTCTTCCTTTCCTCGATGTCAAATAGCCGGATGATTTATGGGCTGCATTCATTAGCTTGGCAGCAAATTTCGTTCTGACTAAATCTCATCCTTCTCTGCCTCCTGTTGTCTGGCTCCTTCTGGCTGCTTATTGTGCCTTTAATTGTCAGACCTTTGCCAGGCTGCACAGCAGAAAGCCGCGATGGTACTGATGTGTTAGCAGAGTCAGTTAACTCAAAAAGGCAAAATAGAAACATTTTATTTCTGAGTAAGTCATAGTGGTGATTGACTTTCTCAGAAAGCTTCATCGCAAAACATCATGCAGACTTGGAGTTGTTTATATATATATATATATATATATATATATATATATTTTAGAGTACATTTCTTTTTGAGCCAACATTTGTTAAAATCTGTGTATGTGTAGGATGTTACTTACTTCAAACAAAAACCTAATTTCAGATTTTTTTTGTGTGTGTGTGTGTTTGTGGAGATTTTGTTTCTATGCATCTCTCTCTTTGGGTGGTAACAGTTAAACTCTTCCATTTGGTGGGATTACTTCTCCACTCATTCCTGTGGGAGCCGCCGTCAGCCCGTCATCTTTAAGCAGAATGCCATGCCTTCTGATGCTTTAATCCCTTCGCCTCCTCTCTCCCCTCCTTTTCCCACACTCAACCTCTTAACCTCGTCTCCCCTTTCTCTCCTCCTTCCCTCCCTTCTCGCTGCGGCTGTCAACTTTCAGCTGAAGTGGCTGAAATCAGCACATGCAGAGGAGGATGTGTGAAAAGCTTAAATGTTGCAGTTCGATGTCAAGACTCTGCTGCTGTTGGGCTTTTTGGGAGAAACTAACAGCTCCTTATGCAGTGCCTTGAGGGCATATTCATACCCCTTGAACTTTTTTACATCTTGTCACATAACAACCACAAACATCAGTGTATGTTTTTAGGCGATTTGATATGTGATATATCAACACAAAGGAGTGTTTTATTTGTGAAACAGAGGTAAAAGGATGCATGCCTTAAAAATCTAAAAAGTGTGCATTTGGGTTAGTGCAGAGCTCTGGTACATCTAAATAAGATCCAGTGCAACCAATTTCCTTCATCTGAGACTGTGTTTGAGCTGTGTGGCCTAAGTGGAAAATGCAGTCTCTCAGAAAAAAAAAAACAAAAAAAAAAAAAAATTGCCTTGAATATATCACCCCCACAGGGAAACATGGGGGTGGCAGCATTATGCTTTTGAGATGCTTTTCTTCAGCAGACACAGGAAGTCACTCAAAGTTTAAAGGAAAAGGGATGGAGATAAATACAAGACAATAATGGAAGATATTCACCTTCCAGAAGAAGTTAACGAGTCTGAAACAAACTACCAGAATTAGAATAAAAATGATATATCAACGCATACCATTGTGCACTGCAGATTGACCCATTCAGGGTCCAGCCCTAAAGCCAAATATTAGTACAAAGGCCTGAAAAACGCTGGGCAGAAAATACATGATGAAATGAAAACTTTTGGAAGGCACAAAAAGCTCAAAGAAGACAACCCCACAAAATAAAATAGAATTTTGAAATATTTTTTTACTAGATTTTGACCAATACTAACTTTAGTGCTTAGTTTTATCTCTCTAAAGCCAACAGCCTGAAGCGCTGTCCTAGTGCGACTGAATGATGTAGATCTGAGATGGCTGTGGGTCACAGATGAAGCAGGGAAATCCAGCAGACAAGTAAAGGATCCAGTTCTGTCACTGCTGCTTGACCTAGAAACAACACATACATGAAGACTTTCTAAATTAGGAGTGGAATTTGTCTGTCTATGTTTTGTATTAAAAGACTAGGGGAGAAAGTGAAATCAATGACCTCAAATTTCTACTGTTCAGAACCCATAAACATCCAGTAGCCACACTTACTCACTGGTGTGTTTTGAATCCAATGATGTTAAACATACCCGCAGCTGCAGAGTTCTCTGCCAGAAGTAAGCCCTTTTGATTTAAGAGAGACACGGTATATATAAGAAATGCTAATCTTTTCTAAGCTGTGCTGATGCCCAAACTTGTCAATTTATAGAATAATTGCAAAAAGCTGAACGCTGAAAAAGAATCCAGTATCTTTCTCTGGCCGGTTGAATAAAATCCTTGCATCTAAGCCCCCAGCTATTAGATGTAAGTTTATTTTTGCCATGTGTTCGTGGAGAGTGCGGCTGTCATTTTCTGCAAGGAAGTTTTGAGTCTGCATGTTTTCTGAAGAAGAAAAACTTGTGCAGTTTTATCCTGACTGGATTTCATGTTCCTCCTCTTGGTTTGGTATGTTTATGGAAATACAAAAGTAAAAAACAAATGAAACAATCAGTTCTGTTTTTGTTAACATCACATGTGGGACCAGACCTTAAGGGCAACAGCTTTTTTTACAGCATGTGTGTCAAAATCCATTTACATTTGTGATAAACAGTAAAATCTTCTTAGGTTGATGACTGTGCCCTTATAGAAATGAGTCTTTATGAGTAGAATTGTGTGTGCGTGCGTTTACATGTGTGTCTGTGTGTTTGCAGCTCTGCGAGCAGTGAAATAGGTCATCTAGTCGGTGCTCATGAGTTTGTGACAGGGTCAGGAGGTTACATGGCGTGTGCAGCTGTCTGCTTGCCGCTACATCCTTGTCCGTCTCCCTCTCTTCCTCTTCCTACGCCGTTCCCCCTCTCACACAATCGAACACGTTTTATTTCTTCGGCTGCCTTCCATTGTTCTCTGTCTTTAAAAACGGGATTTGGAGAATAAGAGAGCTGAGGTAGGCTCTCATGAAAACAAAAGAGACACATGTGTGTGTTCCCACCCCTCCCTTAATGTTCAGGCAGCCCAGATTATCATCACTGAACACAGCACCCTAATTATTGCTGCTCCCTCTTTACACTCAGAGGGATTATGACTGAAGAGCGTTTACAACATGCATTTACCCCACTAAGCTGGATGGCACCAGCATGCATGTTGCTTATATACATCCTTGTAGGAATAGTTGTATAATACTCATTATTTTAATGGGTCTTCAGGGAACAATTTCTAAATTTTATGCTGTGCCATGTGAATGATGGATTGTAATGTCTCTGGGTTGTCCAACTGGCTAATCATGTTGTCAATACATGACTGATTAATCAATAAGGATTAGTGTAACTGTGTAAACTGTCTACTCTTTAGTTAGTTAATCACATTACTAAGGAAATGAGGTGTTAACAACCAGCTGCGTTGGTTGGGCAATTTCAAACTTTGGAAAAAAAAAAAAATGTGAGCAACAACATTCTAAAATTAGTAGTAATCCAACTAATCAATTTCTTTACCCGCTCAATTTTAGCATT